GAAATTGAAGTAACTGCGAACAACATTTTTAAATTACAAGAATAAAACTAAAATTGTTATTCTTGATTATACATAATTTCATCCAAATTTAAACTTAAAACAACTATAAAAAAACTGTGTATGTATGTATGACTTTTAGATTCTTTTTTTGTTCCAGAATTAACAACCTTCTTTTTAAATTTTCAACTCTTAGCTATAAAATACAAATGTTATATAAATGTTTAACAACTAAAGAAGTTGTAAATTATCAATTAAATACATTATGTCAACATTTGAACTTTAAATGGTTATAATTAAAAAAAGATGCCTATTTATTTTTAAATATATTTTCCAACTGCTATTATATAATCCAATGTATAACAAATTTCAAATAAAACTAAATAAACTAGAAATCTATTTTTACAACTGAACATAAAAATATGCTTATTTTCTATTCAGTATATTTTTAAGATACCTAACAGCCGATGTTAAGATTACAAATGTTATGGTCATATTATTGCATTTAATTGCAATATTTTCAAATATAATAATTTATTTAAGTACTGTTTCTTTTTAAAATTTATTTTAAACAAAAATGTTTAATTAGGTTAAATCTCCAATGCTATTATTGATGATCAGTCATATTTTATATGCCTGTAAACTATGGTGTAAGAGAATGATTAGTAATTTGATTGATTATTTTTATTTCAGAAAACAAAGATGATAAGCATTAAGTTCACAATAACATTTTTATATTTTATTTTAAAAAACTAATGCACAATGCAACAATTTGAGAGTATATATTTGAATACAGATTATTATGAAATTTTTATAATTTTTAAGGTTTTAACTGTTTTAAGGGTACATTTTATAAGTTTTTAGAGCATATCCTTACTTTACCAATTAAAAATAACTAACCTGTCATAACAATCACCACGAGTACCAATAGGTATATCAAAATCGACAAGGTGATATGCGTCATAAGGTTGTGTTTGACGTAAATCCCATTTGATACCAGAACCACGTAACATAACACCACTAAAAAAAAACGTTATTTTAATTTAATTTAAGTTTTAATTATTCAGTATGAAACCAACCTAAAACCTAAATTTAGAGCGTCTTCAGCACTAACAACACCTATATCACGTGTCCTAGTGATCCAAATTCCATTATTGGTAAGCATATCTTCAGTTTCATCAATACGTTCCCCAAACTTAGATGAAAACTGATAAATGTCATCCATCAATCCAAGTGGTATATCCTAAATAAATAAATTTTGATGTAAATATAATATATACCAGAGGTATTCAAACTTTTTCAGCACGCGGCTCCTTTGGGTGTTCACAATATGGAAGATATGTTATATGGGTGATAATAACATTGACTTTAGTACTAGAAATAAAACTTCAAATGTTCGAATCGTAAGGTTTTCATTTCAATAATTATCGCAGATAATATTTATAATAATTATACAGGACCTAGGTATGATGTTGGTTTTCGGTGTTTTGACGCGGCTCCCTTTGCAAACTCTCGCGACGCCCCTGGGAGCCGCGACGCACAGTTTGAATACCATTGATATATACAATGATACTAAYAAATTAAGAGGTTTCCATACCTGAGAAACGCCTCCAGGCCGTATGTAGGCAGCATGCATTCTAGCTCCAGATACTCTTTCATAGAATTCCATCATTTTTTCTCGTTCTTCAAATAACCAAAAGAATGGTGTCATAGCACCAATATCTAAGGCATGTGTGCCAATAGCCATAATATGATTTAACAAACGAGTAATTTCTGCAAACAATGCTTAAAAAACAGAAACATATTATAAAAAAAAACTYATTAATGTAAAAGGAGTTATTAAATATACTAAAATCTCTTAACAAATTCTCTTTAAGATCAAAATCTTTTTAYGACTGAAAATAACAACAGTCTTGTATAACCGATATTTTAGAATCWATAATTCATCCATAACAAAAAATCAAGTGGTACAGAATTATTTTGTTATGAAGTTTTACTGTAAATGATTTATATTCTTACTTCTGATGTACTTTGCTCTTAATGGTATTTCAATGTTTAGCAATTTTTCCACAGCCAATGAGTAACATTGTTCGTTACACATCATAGATACATAATCAAGGCGATCAAAATATGGCAATGCTTGAGTATATGTCTTGTATTCAATTAATTTTTCGGTACCACGATGCAAAAGTCCAATATGAGGATCAGCTCGTATGACGACCTACAATTTATCAAACATACAATACAKTTATGATTTATTTGAAATTTGTAATCCACAAGTTTTACCTCTCCAGCAAGTTCCAGTACCAATCTAAGTACGCCGTGGGCAGCTGGATGTTGTGGTCCAAAATTGATGGTCATGTTTTTCACTTCTCGTTCAACGGGCTGAGGATTAGAATTCCATGCTTCCACCTTCCAATCCCCAGCTTCTTCGGGTACAAACATAACAGGTCGCTCGAATTTTTTCATTTCTTCGACACCGGGATACCATTTTGATGCACTCCTAACATGTCTGCGAATAATAATTAAAATTCGTGAGCATCATGCAATATAAATAATTTAATATTGATTTATTTATCTTTACTTACTGATAAATTCGGTCATTTGCTGCCAAATACTTCGTTAGATGACCCAAGTTATTTCTTTTCACAAAATTCAAAACTGAAGCCATTTTGAATCAGAAAACTAGTAAAACTACTAAAACAAAAGACCGAGATGAAAAGCTTAGGAGAAAAGCTCTCTTAAGTATATCCTATCTCTATTGAAATTTTTTAGAGCAATTTAATTTTATCAATCTATATCACTTATTTCTGTAGGTCTTCCATGGAAGAATAAGCATTTTACCAGGTTTTTCAAAATATTTGATAACAGGTATTATCAGCATGATAAGTCAGATTGAGATAAATATTGTCATGATATTATCTATGTATATTCTACAAGCATTGAAGCATGTGCATGATTGTAAAGAAAT